TGTATCCAAGCGTAGCAAACTACGGTCTGTGAAATAATTTTGCAACACGAAGAGCACATCGAACAATTTCGCAAGTTACATCAGATGCGGTTATCATATCGCAAAGTGTGACATAGTGTAGTGTAACATATGCTTGCACGCTGATATGTCACAATCCTTGCATGTGTTTGTGAGAAGCGGGAAAAGACATGTGAAGCAAAAACGGCGTGCCCAGTTTCATCAGGGGTGGTTTGGAACATAACGATCGAAGCGTGATGAAGATGAAATATCACGTACATAACGTGCTACATATGTTGTCCCAGCTCTTAGGCGGTCGCCCTAGCAGTGCATGTTGCATAAACTGCGCTACCAGAGACGTGTTTGCGAACAGCCCATCACGAAAAAGAACTTTCAAGCGGTTTTTGAAGGGCAGCGTAGTTACGCTTGCAGGCCACACGAATAAAGGAAATGTGACGCACGTAGGGAATGCGTGTGCTACGAATGCATCGAAGGGAATGAGTAATTTTAAGTTCACTGTGCTGTTAAAGACCTAAATGACCGCTATTTGTAAGCTCGTTTGAAAAGAGTTGTTAAGATATGCTGCCGAAATAATTTCACTCCCACAAATTTTCATAAAACCATGGCATGTGTTGCCTGTGTAAAGATGACGAATACTGAGGTCGAACAAATTGCATTGCTTTGTCCATACGGCTTTAGGTCTTGGTTCAGATTCAGATTCAGATTCAGCTTGAATTTCAGGACAGATAGCTTTTTCAGGACAGGCTGCATAACTTTTTTATTCTCGGACGTCGTAACATTACACACGAAATGTCATATAACACAAAGAAGTTCAGGGCACACCAAATATTTACCGCAACGCTCACACACAATGCACATCACCATGCTGCACGTGCAGTAGGTTTCGATTCGGACAGCATTTGAAACTCCGCGAGTTTACATGAAAGCCTCGTTTCTCCTACTGGTGCTGTACCGCGCTGCCGATGGTGTAAGCGAGCTGCTCAGGCCTGCCTGTCGTCGCGGCGGCGTGGATCACGCATACCCTATGATGTTCGACAAGGTCGTGTGTGCCAAGTCAGTTAAGTTGCTTGAAAATATCACTGACGCGATCGTGTGTTAGCCTGCCGCTGACCACTCAGGCACCCAACCTTCACAGTACGCTGTGAAGTTCCGGGACATTACACGTTGTACGGTATATGTATATGTGTATATATATATATATATATATATATATATATATATATATATATATATATATATGTATAGACTATATATATAGACAGCCTATATATATATATATATATATATATATATATATATACATATATATATACATATATATATACATATATATATATATATATATATATATATATATATATATATATATATATATATATATATATACATATATATATATATACATATATATATATATATATATATATATATATATATATATATATAGACTGGACAATGCTTGCACGCACAGGTTTCTGCATGGCATATTTAGCTTGTTTCAGACCAATGGGAATGACAGCGCATTTTGACGTGATTTGGTTTACATGTGGTTTGAGACTGAGATAGCTGTCCACAATAACAACTATTTTTTCACGACTGTTGAGTCAGGCATAAGCGTCGGAGAAACTGAGCCAGACAGGTGGCAAGCCTCCGAGCATTGGTGTCGCAGAAACTCAGCCAGACAGGTGGCAAGCCTCCGAGCATCAGTGTCGGAGGAACTCAGCCAGACAGGGGGCAAGCCTCGGAGCATCAGTGTCGGAGAAACTCAGCCAGACAGGTGGGAAGCCTCCGAGCATTGCCGGCGTGCCTTGTACAAAACCTTGGGTTTTGGCCGCGTCTAATTTCATGCCGTTCCTACGTCGCCAGCTGTGAAGGCATTCAAGGGCCTGCCCGGCGCGCTCCATGGCCTGTGACATAGCACGCCTCCTTCCGCTAAAGAGCAGTTGCGTGCTATCAGCAAACTGTGCGGTACGGACGAGTTCGGGTACGAGCAGGCTCAGATCGTTTGAGAAAGCGGCATGCAATATACAGCTGAAGGATCCACCGTGAAACACGCCGATTGTGTTTGGTTTTGTCTTAGATCGCACAAGCATATAATTACCGTTGAACGCCTGAGCTACCTGGGTGGGGCTTCCCAGATAGTCAGCAATTCAGTCAATTTCCACGCAGCACAACACCAGCTTGTCCAGCAGATGCTGGCGCGGCACCGCATCGAAGCACTTGGACAAATCAAGCAGCATTAACAACGATTATTCTCCTTCGTCCAAGGCACGTAGGCCCTGGTCGCTAATGATGATGGGTGCTATTTCTGTGCAGTATCCTTCTCGGTATCCGTGTTGAACGCTTGATAGAATGCGGTTCGCGTCCAGATACCAAGCCAGCTGACGCTAAACAAAGCGTACCAGGGTCTTCACGACTCCCAGTAAAGTGGAGGTTGGACGCGTGTTGGCTGGCTTGGACGATACTTGTGCTTTGGAAGTGAAAGTAGCGAGAGCACGTTTCCATGCTGCTGATACGAGGCTGGATATCAGCCCGGTTTTGATGATGCTCAGGGGGGGGGGGGGGGGGGGGGGGGGGGGCGTCTCCATTTCCCCGGAGAATACTCTGGAGCAAGGCTACGCTGAAGGTCACGATGGTTCCATCTAGCCACCGACGTTGGATGATTTGATCGATGCCAGGATCGTCAGCATCAGCATGACGGTGTCGGTCGGCTCAGGTCTAAAGTTGCTGTCACCTCTGGCAACTGTACTGGTGCCGGTGCCGCGGGTCTGGGCGCACTGGTGGCAGGAATTGTCACTTCGGGCGGCTGTACTGGTGCCGGTGTCGCAGGTCTGGACACACTGGTGGCAGGAATTGTCACTCCGGGCGGCTGTACTGGTGCCGGTGTCGCAAATCTTGATACACTGGTGGCAGGAATTGTCACTCTGGACGGCTGTACTGGTGCCGGTGTCGCGGGTTTGGACACACTGGTGGCAGGAATTGAGCCGATGCTGGCATAATAACTGAATGTGTCTGGTGTAGCACCGGGTGCTGACACATCTTCCTGGCTCCCGATGATGAGCGACAATACTTGCCAGACGTCACTCGACCTCGCTGTGTCGAGTTCGCGCTGTAAGTGAGACTGTTGTGTCTGTGGCCTTGGGTGAGACGCCTGGTCTCGCTGCACAGCTGCGCGGCACCACGGAGCTCCTGCGTCTGTCAGCGTCCTGATGAGCTGCAAAAGCTGAACTTATCTTGCCGATTCATCAGTGACCAGCCCAACGATATCACGGACGTCGTTGATTTGGGCGGAATAAGATACTCACCAATATTGGAGAAGAGCGGTAGTCGTTTTGAGGCCAATAAAAGAGACCCTGCTCCCGTGCTTCATAATAAAGTTAATAATTGTTTCCATAATCCGTCAAGATGTATAAATATCATGTGAGGGTTAATGGAGAAGTAACTAATGTGATACACACATTATCTTTCAGATTAAAAAGCAACAAAATTACTGAGCGCGTTTAGCTCTAAAGACCCATATTTCAGCGCATTTCGCAGCATTTTTCACGGGTTCAATGCGAATAACATCGACATCGACGAACAACCATTAAACTGTGTGCGGCTTGAGCAGAGCCGCCTGGTGGTTGTTAATTTGTTTTAAAGGAAATGTTTAAAAGAGAGACAGGTAAAATACCGGCATACCCAAACGGCAGACAATGGCAATGACATGCAACTGGTTCATGGGCAGTGGACGGTAACGAATTCCGTCGGAGACGAAAAATTCAAACGGCAGGCGGAGAGACGTAGAGAATGACAATGATTTTAAAATGAGAATTACAAAATACGCGATAAATTTAGCAATAATGTTGAAAAAGGAGATACGCAATGCAATACGAGCATAATGAGTGCGATGGGGCTTAAACCGGCCAGTGAAAATAATGTCCCATATGGAGCTGAGTTACAACTTGCCTACTCCTTAATTTAGTGATGGGGATGCTCGCGAGATTCAATGGCTTCTTCAGCAATGCGTCGAGAGCGGTTGGGTTCTATAGCCAAATGATTGGCTTTTGACTAGTCGAAGGTTTTCGACACTGAATCTAATGCCCTGCCAGTGGCAAGGTTTTCTCCCGTGTATGTTTCAGTGCAACGTGTTCTTTCAGTCTGGCTGTTTTTGGCGGATCTGCTTCCCCAGTGCATGCTCCACCACATTCGTATCCCGTTTTTTACACCACCTCCTTTTCCTGTTCATTGTGTATGATGTCTTCCATATGGACGAGCCGTTCTCTCAGAGCAGGTCTGGAGCTGTGTGCCACTTTAATGTTGAGTGGAGCTAGTGTCCTGCTAATTCTGTCACTAATGTCTGGTATGCGGAGTGCTGCCTTAAGGTGACTCAACTGTTTGACTTTTGGTTATGTGCCTTTGTTATGGACATAGTTCGGCCCACATATTTTTCTAATAACCATTGTCTTAGAGCTATTTCTTCTCGGCGAGCACTGTCTGTCACGTGAGTCCAAGTCATAATAAGACATACAAACTAGACGATACCGAGTATTTTTCCGATAAAACATAATAAGAAAAAGAGACTTCGTTCCGGAGGTGCCATAAACAGTAAAGCGGCAAATGCCGCTAGAAAATGGTCATGGATGTGTTGGGACGCAGATCATTGTGTGAATGCAGTTTTCGCATCTCGGAAATAATCGAATACGGTATATGTAAACACATGCGCAGCTTTTGGGGAGTTTTGTGACGTGCTTTTGCTAGTGGCGATATTGATTATCATTCCGTCCCCAAACAATACTCCTGGCGACTTTCTACTGCGCTGGCATATCAGAAAGCTGGCAGGCCCGCGCAGACAACAACGTGTATGACGGGCTTTAACTCGTCCATGGTCTCCTATGCTAGAGGCGAAGGCACGCCTTGTTATTCAGGTGGTGTTTCTGACCGTCCTGGTGTTCAGGGGCGTTCGCACCTCTTCACGTCATCCCCGAAGAGTGCATGGTCGGAGCAACCTACCGAAACTTCTGCATACACCAGTGCAGCATCTAGATGACAGCGACATTTGGAAGGTGGCTGACTACTTATCAAACTCTTCTCAGCTGCCTGACAATGGTTAGTACTGGTCGCTTGGGCCATGCCGTGTTCTGTGTACCGACAATGACCAGTGTAGGTAGCGAGCGATGTTCCTCACCATTTGACGCTTGTGATCGATGCGACCCATTTGACTATCTATGAAAAATACCAGCCGACAGGCACAAAATATCTATGTCAATAAGAGGTTGGTATCTACTTTTGTATTAACACTAGCAAAGTCTACGCATCTGCAGCATTTGTTGTGCGTGGTAAAACTATTACCAATATCAGCATGCTCTATAATTTTGATCTTGCGTCATTTGTATGCGAACGAAAAGAAACGGGCTGACTGTAAGTTAGTTATAGTTATAGTTATTCTTGCATTTTTCTTTGTCTTTTTTTATTTACTTTATTTCGCGCACTCTTGTCAATGCTGGCATTTCCTACTCCTTATTAGCACAGCGACCTCTGACAAATTTGCGAAGGGCTTTCGTTAGGTAAATTTTACACGCGGCATGATCTTAAAGAAATGTTCACGACACATGTATGGAAGATATATCACCTGTGAAAAGGGGTATGACCACTCAGAGTAAGTTAGGGGGCATAACCAGTGAAGAACAGCGCAACCTACCCCAAAATGAACCGATTTTTTTTCTCGCCAGTTTTGGCACAGTTTCTTCTCAAAGTTGGGGGGCTGAAGCCCAAGTTGGAGTTGGAGCCCCCGCCCTTCCCCAAATGAAAAATTTTACCCACTCCTGGGAAGCAAAGTTTATTGGGATTTTAAGTCAAACGTGCACGTTCTTCGAAAATAATTTCAATTATCGGTGATACTTCACGTCAAAACAAAACATACGACGAATGAGTGCCGTGTAGAAAAGCCTGTGAAGCCGTGCTCATCATTCCATTACTGAACATCACTTCAGCTCATGTTCAACATGGACACCGCGGCCGGCGATGCATATCTTGATGCGTCTTGGAACTGTCTCGACCGCCCTCCTAGCGTTCGGGGGTGGCCGCTTCCAACCTGGCGGCTGCTATCCCCGCTGCACTGACACGGGTCTTTTGGATAGTTTGGGTACGGTGCACATGTTTCCAAGTTTACTAGGCAACTTTGGCACGTTCGTTTACCCTCTCGCTTCCTTTTGAGGCATGGGACTGCAGCTGTTTCGCGAGTATTAGATGCACACTAAACTTTCGCAGCCGCAGTCTTATTGTGCTAACGGGCGCGGAGTGAATGTTTACCCGCGCCCGGCCGGGGGTCTGAGACAACCGCGGCCGGGGTGGGAAGTTGACTGCCCCCTGGGATCTCCAATTTCCAGACGTGATACGAGAAAAACAAAGATACTGTTGTGGGGGTCTCGTCGAATTATGAAGAATACATGCCCAATTTTTGACCTGAGGTCAATTGTGAGATCACCAGATGCCACGAAAGGAAACGAAATGGTTCAGATAGACGTAGTTAAAACATACGCTCATATGTCAAGACGATATTGAGAGAGCAGACTTAAGCGTTCAGACTGTTGGGAGCTCATTCCTACCATTTTTGTTCCTCCGCAACGGTCAGGTCAGACCGGGTCACCGTTTATAGCTGGTCCGCAAGCAGCCTGCAAGAACGATACGCTTTTTGTTCTCTGTCATAAGATGCTTCAGGCTTATTTATCTCTTTACATGCAACTGTGGGAAAAAGCATCCTAGACGCAAAAAATGTCATGTTAAGACCGCCTAGAGTTTAGCTAAGGCCAACTGACGTCAAATTCATGAACCATCCAATAAGAAATCTAAGAACTAACCGGGCATAAAAGACCAGTACAATGCTTAATGAAAGACCGCATAGCTCCTGGATATATTATGCATAGTCCCTTCGACGCTTGACAATAAACGTGTAGCAAATTAAAGTTTAAACCCTGTGCGGGGACTAACGGGACCTAAACCCTGCGGAGAATCAAACCCTGTACGGTTGGTTTCTTAGATGAGCCACTTAACAAGGTCGGGACCGTAGAATTCATTCCGCAGACAGGCAGTAGCATATAAAGATGCGTATTGATTTAACTGTCGCTGCTTTTCGGGCACGAGCTCTGCGTCAGGCATCATTTGCGTTGCGTTCTGAAGAACTCATTGGCGTTTGCAGATGACGCTAGCAAGCTGGACAACCTCTACTACAGAAAAATGCTGGAGTACATCTTCGGCTCTGGCGTAAAAGATACTGAAGCCTCAGCGTCGGATCCCTTGCGTATCGTTGTGAAGTTGGATAGCAACCGTCCACGCAGCAGGACTACATGGCTCACAGCGGGACCACCTCCAAACAAGCCGTCCAGGACTGGCACTGGACTCCGGGACCGGCCTCGCATGAGCCGCCCCAGGCACAGAGCCGCACCTGAGGCCCCCCAGCGCCGCGGCGTACCCCTCTCCACCCGAGACCGCTTTTACTTCTTGCGCCACCTGCGCGCGGACCTGCCGGCGCTGGACCAGGTGCTGGCGGAGGAGCCGGAGCCTCCCGAGCCGGAGCCGTCGTCCACCACCGAGCGGCCCGAGCAGCCGGACCGGACGGCGCAAACGGCCGACCAGCGCCTGCAGGACGTGCTGCGCGGCATGGTGACGTACGGCGAGGCCGCTGAGGGCGACGAGGGCACGCTGGAGGAGGTGCGCCAGCTGGCGGCGAGGGAGAACACGCGGCCGTCACTGCCCCGCCCCGGGAAGGACCTGTTGGAGCTCATCGAGGACAAGTCCATCTCGAAAACGCGCCGCAGGAGGGACGCGGCGAGGACGGACATGAAGCAGCTGACGGACTTCATGTCACAGGAAAACTACTCGCAAGAGCTGATTAACAGCTTCCAGACGGGCGGCGTCAAGCGACACAACTCGATCAAGAAAGAGCTACGCGAGCCTATCGACATTGATATGCACGGCATAGCGGTCATGGCGGCGTCGCTGCGGAAGCGCAGCGCGCCGGTCCAGGCTACCACAGCAGACCGGCTGGACGTGACCGCCACCGATGTGGACAACTTGGGGGTCGACACCATCGGGCGTGCTGTTCGCAACCCGAGCGGCGATTCCAGCGCCACCTACGACATCATCACGGCACCGGGCCGCTGCCACATATGCCATTCCCTCAGGGTCCGGTGCTGCCACCTATGGCACGGGCTCTGCGCGAGCGCGGCGGCGGCGCAGCGCGCCTGGCACGCGACGCGTGCTGGACAAGATCCGGATCGCGCCTGACCTGCCCGACATGATGACCCTGGACCCGGAGGACGTGCTGGAGAGCGAGGAGAGTCCACTGCTGCCGGTGCGCGTGATCTCCGGCGCCGAGCGCGACCCGTTCGAGGTGACTGAGCGCGGCGCGCTTGTGTTCGAGGAGAGCGAGCGGCGCCCCACCTGGAGCCCCTGGGGCCTCTGGGGGCCCTGTTCAGTCACCTGCGGCCCCGGGCAGAAGGCGCGCTACCGACACTGCGTGCAGGGGCCGCGCTGTGAGCCTGGCGAGCGAGAGTCAGACTTCAAGCCCTGCCTGAGGAGGTCCTGCACGCTCCCCGTACCCGCGGGGCTCCTGGACGCCTTTTGATGGCGTGTGTGGGGAGAACGCTCCCAAATGCATTTTCACATCACGCCAGCTTGAATGAATTGCTGCTGCAGCTGTGGTTACCCTGGGAGACGACTGAGAACGTTCCAGTCGCCACAGCCGGTGAGGAGAGTGCCTCCCCCGTCCACCAACGCAGCATCCCGCAGACAAACGTAACTGTTCATGAATGCGATGGTCTTTCGGTGCGCATCCCAAGTGCCGCACGGGGCATGAATGGGGCAAGCAGGCTTATGGCTGAGTAACTTTTCTTCGGCTTTCTGCTGAGCTCTGAGCAAATTCAAAGAAGAAAATCAGCAACGAAATCAGGTCGTTTTCTCATGACGAATGCTGGTACAAATCAACCGCCATCACGCTTGCACACACGTCATCAATACCACGAAACCAAACAGATTCCTTAGAAATAACCTCCGAACTGCCTGCAAAACAATCCCCATCCAATCCAACGTCTGTGTAAGTTATACCTCTTGCCACTCTCTCTTGCCACTCCTTTTCATAACAGCGCTGTATAGCCGGTGGCACGAGCTGCCCATCAGCCATTGCGCCCAACGCCCGATCGCATCACCAGCCTGAAAACGTCCCAGAACGCCCTCTCTCAGATTGACGGATGGCGAAGACAACCGCAGAACTTCTGTGCTGGTTTATTCAAAAAGTGGGGTACAAAATATGACCTGTTCCGTCGCCACCCACCGCTCCGCCAATAGACGCGTGTCGAAATGCAAACAGCACAGAGTATTTTGAAGGGCGGCGGCGCGCGCCGGTGGCGCCGCCGCCGCCAGTTTCCTGTCTGGCTGGCCTTGACTGCCTCTGCCCACGTGACGCTCCCACCAGGCCTCGCGGGAGCGGAGCCGCGCGGCCGGCCGGCCGGCGCGTCGCCCCCGCCGACGGGGGCGCCGCGAGCCGCCCGGCCGCCGGCCCGGGTCTTGCCACGGGGGACTCCAGCGCCGCGCCCCTCCGTCCGTCCTGCTGCTGCTGCCGTCCTGCCGCCGCCGCCGTCCGCATCGCACCGCCACCGCCGCTTTACGATCGGATCCGCGCCATAGTGTTCCTTCAGTCACGATTCTTCGGTTTCGTCCCGCGCCCGCTCGGACGGCGGCCTCCGCCTCACTGCCGCGGGCGCCAGTCCGCGCCGGCCCGCTCCTCCGCGCACTCCCTCACTCATTCACCGTCTGCCGATCGGGCTGAGCCCCGCCGCAGCGCACCTTTGCACTGTAACGTTGGCGCGCGCCGGCCGGGGGCGCCGGCGCCGCCTAGTTCTGCACGGCCTCCGAGCGTGGCTCGGCGCTCGGCCAGCTGCTGGCCTCCTGGCCCCGCTCAGAGCGGCCGCCGCGCTGGTACGAGCCGTCGCCACCGCCGCCACCCCGCCGGCTGTTGTACCTGCGATCAGTCAGCACGGTCAGGCGCCGCGTTGGCTCGCGCCGCTGGCGCCTCTCACAGCCCGGCTGGCAACGGTGTGTCCCGCAGATGGACACCGCACACTGATGCAGGGACCAGCATCAATGTGCAACATCCCCCCCCCCCCCCCCCTGGAAGGATTACAGCTGCCTGACGTTCGACGGCTTGCAGGCGGCGGAACAAAATAAACCGTGAAGCACAAGCAAGCAAAGCCGAAAAAGGTAGCGGTGAAATCAGTTCATGACAAGAGCCCAAACGGTGTCCGATAACACTGCATCCCCGCTCGAGCGCCGGGGCCGTCGGGCACTGACCCCCGGTTGTAGTTGTTGTAGTATCCCCGGTAACCGCCCCGGTTGTTGTAGTAGCCGCCACCACGGTTGTTATAGTAGCCTCCGCCGCCGCGGTTGCCGTAGTAGCCGCCGCCGCCGCCGCCGCCGCCGCCGCCGCCGCGGTTGTTATAGTAGCCGCGCCCGTAGCCGCCGCGCCGGTACGGCCGGCGCGTGCCCTCCACGCCGAACGTCTCCAGGTTCTGCTTGCGCTCCTTCTGCCAGTCCTGGCGGCGCTGCCGGTTGCTGCCGGGCAGGGGCGGCCGGTGAGCGCGGGCCGCGGCCGGACGGTGGGCGGCGCTCGGCTGGGGTTGGGTCAGCGCCCGCCCGCGGACGGGCGGCCGGGGTGTCGACAGGCGGCGCCTCCACCCGCGCCCGCGCCGCGCAGGCGGCAGCCGGCGCGGGGAGGCGCCGCTTTGGCGTGCAAGGATGTCAAACATCATGCCCAGCGGCGGGGTCACGGACCGACAGACGCGACGGCTACAGCAAGGCGCGGGCGTGAGCGGGCACTGCCGCCCAGGCTCCACACAGACCACACTGATCTGGTATCCCAGATAACGCTCTGTGGGTGAGCTTGTGGGCCTGTGGACGGTTTGCTCGAGTTCGTCGGCTTGTTGATAAGCTTGCGAACAGTTCGGCAAAGCGGAAAGCAAGATGACGAACATCACAACGTTTGCAACGTGGGTGGAGCAACGTTTTTTAAGTTGGCATAGACTGGAAGTAGACCAACAATTTGGTGTGGGAAGTCCACGACAACGCAAACTCCACGTCAATCTAGGTGCGACAGTCATTTTATCTAAACGATCTTCTCTGTAATATTTATACCAAAAAGATAGTTCCACTCAAAACAAACACTCCGCCTTGCAGTGTGACTGGCTGCGCAGGATTTGGTACCCGTTATTCTTTACGGCTGATTGCTAGGCCGCGGGGGTGTGGCTGTCGCTGTGAGAGCCGCTACGACTGGCGTCAGTCCGTAACCTTAAAACTCGCACTCAGACATCACAGCAGCGTACTCACTCTCTGGCCTTCTCGATGGCATCGCAGCTGATGTTGTCGAAAAACGACTTGGTTTTGTTGTAGAAGACGACCGGCTCCTCAGCCTGGTCGGGCACCTCGCCCTCCTCCGGCTCCTCCTCGGCGCCGGCCTCGCCGGCCTCGCCGTTCTCATCAGCGCCAGCCGGGGTGGCTGCGGCACCGGGCCAGACGTCAGCACGGCGCGCACCGGGCGCATGCGCAGCGTCGGCACAGCGCGCCGAAGCCTGTACAGCGGCCATCGCGGCCACTATACAGGCTCCAGATGCCACCTAACGGTAAGCCCTGAAACCACCTTTCCACAGCGTACATCGCCGCGGCAGTCGTACATCTTTAAGTTAACCATAAACCGCGAGCCGGAGCCCCTCCACCTGAAGCCCACCCCACCGCCCACGCCGCACTTACTGATCTTCGTCTTGGCGAGCTGGGCGGCCAGCTCCTCGAACTTCTTGTTGGCCTCCTCGAAGTCGAAGTCGCCGTCGAACTTTATGGGGCGCGCGCTGACCTGGAAGGTGCCCCGGCTCTGGCCGCGGCCGCCGCGCCGTCCGCCGCGCTGCGTGCGGTACCCGCCGCCGCCTCCGCCACCGCCGCCCCGCTGGTAGCTGTGGTAGCCACCGCGCTGGCTGCGCCGGCGGGCGGCAAGGGGGCCGCGTCAGTCGTCCGCGAGGGGCGGAGCGGCGGGGACCGCGGACGAGCACACCACCGCCGCACCAACGCTCAGACAAATGCTACGGCACCAGTTACCCAAAGTTTTGTGGGTATGGCAGTACGTGTGTGCTAACTGCGGCGATACTATGGCTTTGGACCAGCGCCCTTGCACCCAGCCATAATCAAAACGGGCTTCACTTAGGGATCGCCACACACCGACCCTGCACGCGACACATCCTACATGACCATCTCTAAAGGCAAACTCGCCCAGATCCCGAAGTAAACCCGAAAAGATCCACACCACAACCACAGGGGCGTAGTTGTCTAGCAGTTAGTGCCTTGGTCTCCCACCTAGGGAGCTAGACAGCGAATCTCGCTTGCTCCGTGGCCCCCGAGCACTTATTTGGCCTATGCAGTCGGTGGCGCTCTATAAAAGGGTCATGACAAAGCGCGTGCCATTCCCTTAGCAAACCTCACGCGCACATCACACTACGACCGGTGCGAGCGGCTGCCAGTGCCCGCGCGGGACGCCGGGCGGCGGCGGCGGCGGCGGCGCCTCTCACCCGTCGCGGTGCCGGTGCTGCCGGTCCTGCTGGGTCTGCACGCCCTGGTCGATGGTCGGGGAGCGGCGCGACGGCGTGGTCGACCCGCGACGAGCCCGTCAGCAGGTCGGCTGAAGCACAGACAAGCGCGTCACGCGCCGTCACCGGCCCAGTCGACGCCGAGGTCCGCCCTTCGCGCAAGCAGTGACTAGGCAGAGACGTGTGTGTAATGAATACTTTCATACATGAAACTAGCTTCCTTGTGGGGTCACTGGAGTGACTTGATGACTTGATGATCAGCTGTTTTGCAGATAGAAACTCAATATACACATCACCTGTGACATGCTTTGACCCAAGTTAGTACACCTATCCCCCAAACGCCTTACAGCATTAGCAATGACCTTGAACAAAGGCCAAGAAAGTCGATTTGACGCATGAAACAATGCACGTAAACAAGCCAGGCGCAACCAATCTCATCACGAACACAGAGCTGTGCACGAATAAAGCGAGCTACAGGTTCCCAATGGCTTAGGCAACAAAGGTGCAGACTTTCCACCAACGGACACCAGTGCAATAAAACCCTGATGGCTGCAGCAAACTTCATGCAACCAGACTGAAAAGTTTGGCTACCATTTAAAACAGCTCCGAACACGAGAACTAAACGAAAAGCACGACTACACTGCCGCAAACAAAAAGCACAACTACGCTGCCACGAGCGAACGGCGACGGCGGCGGCGGCGGACGGTGCTCAGTACCTGCCGGCTGGGCGGGCGCCGCATAGTCCATGATGCCGCCGCCGGAGACGAGCGCGGACTCACTGGAAGGTGCGGCGGCGGCGGACAGCGGGCCGCCGGGCGCCGCCGCCGCCGCCGGCAGCCTGCTGACGGCCCCGCCGGCGGCCGCCGCCCCGTTCAGGCCGAACCCGGCGCCGGCCGGGCCGGCGGCCGCGCCGAACGGCGGCGGCTGCGAGAGCCGGCCGCCGGCCGCCAGCGGGCCGCCCGGCGCGCCGCCCGAGCTGGTCGACGACCCCATCTGGCGGCAGCCGTGACGCCGACGGTCGGGTCAGCAGGCACGGCGGCGACGGCGAAGGGAGCGCCGACACGCCACACGCAGAGAACGGTCAGAGCTTCCCAGTTCGCCATGCTTTGACAGCTGCAGGCTGGCTTCTTAGATTCAGAGCGACCGTTTGCTCCGGCGCCACGCCATCGGCCGCCCAAGAGAAATTTGGCGCAGGGAAAACCCAATCAGAACACCATTGGCAGGTTCCGACTTCATCAGAAGCCAGGGAGCCTCACCTCAACAATTGCCGGGTCATCATAGGTCTTCTGGACTTGGACATTGCAGAGCTTGATGTCCTTGATGTCGGAGCCACGGAACACGATGAAGTCATAGATCTCATCTCTCTCAGCTACAGGTCGTTCAGTCGGCCGATCTTCGGTACCGAATGAACGGACTGGAAACAGGCGCACTGGTGTAAGCGCGACAAAGCAATCCAGACAAGAAACCCACAGTCTACTAGCCTACCTGGGTGTTAATGCAAAGCGGTCAAATGCTTTAAGGTGCTTCAGCACGCAACCCGATTTGCATGTGTGAAGCTATAACATGTTTCAGCACTACAGTCATCAGGATGTGTTGCTTACTCATGACCAATTAATTGTTGACAAGCTGTGATGCATAAAGTTTAATTAAACATCTATGCACACAATGTGACGCTCAGACCATTGTTCATCACATATCTACATCTAATAATTTAGGTACTGTCATGTCCGAAAATTTGGGCGCGAATAATGTGGCTGTGCCGTTGATGATGTAAGTTTACTTGTCTTGTTTTCTTCTGGATCAAATAATTACATAATGTATGGCTAATTTTCTGGGTAACCTAATCTTACTTGAACAGCACCAGCATGATTCAAATTATCGTAGCCATCTTTGAGGAGTGATATTGACATTACAATGCTGTCTATCTGTGTCCGTCTAGCTGTGTCCGCCTATCTGTGTCCGCCTATCTGTGTCCGCCTATGTGTCCGCCTATGTGTCCGCCTATAGTTCTGTCTATCTGTGTCCGTCTATCCTTGTCTGTGTCTGTGTCTGCCTCATCTATATGTGTCCTTCTATCCGCGTCCATCTATCCGTGTCTGTCTATCCGTGTCCGTCCATCCGTGTCCGTTCATCTGTGTCCGTCCATCTGTGTCCGTCCATCGCCATCTGTGTCCGTCCATCGTCCATCTGTGTCCGTCCATCTGTGTCCGTTTATCTGTGTCCACCTATCTGTGTCCGTTTATCTGTGTCCACCTATCTGTGTCCACCTATCTGTGTCCACCTATCTGTGTCCACCTTCTGTGTCCACCTGTCTGTGTCCGTCTATCTGTGTCCGTCTATCTGTGTCCGTCTATCTGTGTCCGTCTATCTGTGTCCATCTATCTGTGTCCATCTATCTGCATCTGTCTATCTGTGTCTGTCGGCCTGTGTCTGTCAGTCTGTGTCTGCATGTCTGCATGTCTATGTGTCTGCATGTCCATGCCTGTGTCTGTCCATGCCTGTGTCTGTCCATGCCTGTGTATGACCATGTCCATGTCTTGTCTGCGTCTGTCCATGTCTGTGTCTGTCTGTGCCTGTCTGTCTGTGCCTGTCTTACATACAAAAATGAGACTTCCTGTTATCTGAACAGGAGAGACTGATCAACAGGTCATTTGGCTTTTAACCCTGCTCATCACTATAATGAAATATGGCAAGGTTAGTCAGTTCAAAATTCAGCACTAGTTGGTAAGGTCTGAGTTTGGTGCACACATGCTCCAGATTCAGAATGTGATGTGGGCAAAGCCAACCATGTAAGCCATGTAGGTGTTGCTAGGAATGTCATGCAAGTACCCAGTCCAGTGGATAGACTGCGAGCTAGCACCACACCAGCATTACTAATGAAGATCTGCCAGCAGCCTCCAGGAAGAACACTGGTTGGGTTGTGGCAAAGGCATGTTAGGTCTGATGGACCTGTGGAAGCCTGTTCCTTTGCTAGCATCAAGTATTTGTGTTTCACATTTGATGATAGAAAACCTTTTAACTGCAATAACATTATCACCACCATCATGCACACTGTTATATTAACACTTATTATGCTAGAATGATAAAAGCCAATCTGTCTGAATGTTGTACTTTTCAACATAGACAACATAGACCTTGTGTACAATAGGCAATCTCAATGGGACTTCAAGGTCTCCAATTGCCAACTAATCTGCCAGAAGTCTACCCCTGTTGACCCATTCAATCTGACAGAAGTCTATCCCCATTGACCCATTCAATGCTGCAGGCATCTGCCAATCCATCAAGGGTTGGCAACCAGCCCATAAGGCATTTAGGGCAGCACACTTCTGTGGTTGGAGCAGTGGCCAGTCACTTGATGTCTGGGAGACTCTCAAAAATTTTCCTGACAATCGTATTTGCACTTACTGATCACGAATAACCCTTACAGCTGCTACAGCCAAGTCAGATTGAATTGATCAAATCACACTGATTCAATCACCAAATCACATTGAATTTACTATCCAACATTTTGCAATATGGACAAAATTACAGTTTCAGCATCACCACACTGATGCCAATCACATGGTGTGCAGCTTTAGGCCCATTTACCAATTCAGAAGCACACAGTGGAACCTGGCAGAAGCAAAATGCTTCATCCTTGTGCAAGATTTATGTCAGAGCTTTTCAAATTTATTAGTGTATCTCTCCATAGGGGGAGATATTACCAGCCCTAAATATGGAAAGCTGGGATAATGAAAGCAATGAACACCCACAGCACATTTAACACAAATGCAGCACACTTGGCTTTTGAGCTGTTTATTATGAATGACCACTACTTCAGTGTTGGAAAACTTGATCTTTCCCAGTATAATGTATACCAGGAGATTTTGTACTCCAGGATTGTGACTAGGTAAAATGACATATTTTGTACTCCATCATGATGCAAGAAAGTGTTTGGAAAAACTCATTGTATTTCCCTGTTTCAGGACAAAATTAAACCAGAAGGTGCAACAGCTTGAGACTCGCTGCTTACCGGGAAAATGAAAAACGAGTAGCAGAATCGCACCGGTCTGTAGATTAGCACAACTCTCAGTTCCTACGCCGACCAACTCAGACTTGAACATGACTTAACCTACCACTGACGACAATCCGCATTAATTGCCAAGGATGCAATGAACAGTGAAAGAAAAACACAACTAAGAACCTGCTACAGACGGCCGGCTGCTCACGCGCCACCACTGTGTCATGGCAATGACAATTAGAGAATCACTCGCAATTCAGCGTCAGAAACGTCTGAACTATTCAGCGACTTGCACCTGCCTCCCAGCTCAGGTTGGGTGTTGAACATAGCAAAACTCTCCAACTGATCTTAATGATTCGCCTCCTCATGACTGATTTGTCATGAGCATATATATTCTGCTCACGCTCATGCCTTGAACAGCCATGTTAACATTTGGAGGGAAGCTATATAGAGATGGGCATTCCGATTATGACGAATGGCTTATTGGTACTCATCCGGAACTGCCATGTGATTGGAATTTTTCGCCACTCCCTGGTATTCAGAGTACAAAAAATGTTACGGCAGCTGGAGATTTAAGCCAAGTTAAATTTGTCACTTAAGGATGTGAACTTAAACCCGGGTAATTCAGGCTTTACAAAAACACCCATTAGTTGAAAAATGTTCATGTCAATAGCCAAAAAACTGTTAGGAGACAGCCATCTCACTCAGACAAAAACACCAGGACACCAGAGTAACATGAGCCCATAACTTTGGCCCCGCAAATTAGGGAGAAGGGTATATAGACAAAACATCAATGAATTGCAAGCATAAATTATCACATTTTGCAATGATATGGGTTAAAGCACATCAAATTCAACAAGTACATTGTATTATCCACCGGAGTCAGCGGAGTGACCGACTCCGATCCCTCTTGGCCGGATCCCTCTTGGCCGGCCCGGACGGGTCTGTCAGGCATTGTGCTTGCGTTGGCTCGGCAATCGGTCGAGAGTGCTGCCTGTTTCTACGATTTGGGGTGTGCCGGCCTGGTGTGTTATCCAGGAGGTGGAGGGCATGAATGTTGAGCCATTTTTAAACCAGTTAGCTGGTAGAGGTGCGTAGCGTGACCATGGTGGAGCATGAGTAGTGTGATCATGGTGGATCACAGGTAGGTGGCAGTGTTCATTTGCATTTTTTTAGTAACATTTTTCTCCGGCCGTGTATACCACAGCCAACATCCATGTTGGATGGCCTATAAGCCAGGTGCGTAGCCACCCTCCATGTTGGAGGGTGTATATGCCTGGTGTGCAACCATCTGCCTTTTTGGAGGGTGCATATGCACAGCCTGTCATAAATTGCAAACCCATACATATACACCTGTGTTTCATAGTACAGAGCATGAGACATTTCTTTCAGTGTGCCATGTTTAATACTAATGTCTCATTTCACTCAGTGTTTTTACATGAAGTGCTACATATGAAAAGTGGCACTTTTGTTGAGTTCCACTCATTGTACTGTTATCTCTCAAAGGGAAACTTAATAAAATTGTAATAACCCATGGCACTCAGTATTTTATACTCCACTTGTATTATTCCATTGCATTTGTACTCTGCTACCAGGAAACTTTTTATAATTTCAAACACTGCACTACTTCATTATATATGTACATATATATACATATATATACATATATACTATATATATATATATATACCATATATATATATATATATATATATGTGTGTGTATGTGTGTGTGTGTGTGTTTGTATATATGTGTGTGTGTGTTAGTTTGCTTGATCTCTACCTCAGCTGAACACCTGTGCCCCAATGCAGCAGTCTGCAAGAAATGCCAGACCAGCTAACTTGACATTTGAGGCAGGTCTGATCCTGTCCCAATTCTGTCAGCCTCTTCTCTGCATGGAGAAGGGTCTGCTATTTCATAACCAGGGGCAGGGGTTTCATCTAATTTGCACTTATTAATTGGTTACCACTAAATACTGTGCACAAACACCAGATGTGACAAAAAGAGGACTTGAAGCATTCACATTCCACTTATGTATGGTGCAGATGGCATTCAATCTTGTGTGCAATGGTGCTCCAACTAAGCTGCTACCAGACCAACCTAACTTTCATTGAGTCCATGACAACAGCAAAGGCAAAACAACAGCAAAAGGCAACTTTTCTACAGGCTACACAAGTTCCAAAAAACAACACCAGACATTTGGCACAATCCAGACATGTCTGGTCTGTACCACACACACCAACACACCAAACTTTAACCAAGAGGCGATTCTTTATGTTCTGGCAACCGTTGGAAATGCTTTGTACCAGCATCGTCCCACAATTCAAATGGCATCCAACCCGCACTTAAATTAAACATTTAGCACCAATTAAAGTGGAGAATCCGTGAACGCACGATAGAAAACTAAAACACGACTCACCTTGCGCTAGGGTGACCGTACCCTGGACGGTGTCAATTGTGTACAGAATACCCTCATACCGGATCTGGGAGCTGGAAATGAGACTGATCCTGTTCCCCAGGTACGGAAAATCCGACATTTTGAGACCCCTAATTCAGAACAATCTAATGAGTGCACTGTCCGAAAAAACCTATGATGACAGGACAATAGACTAAATATCCGCGACGAAAACCGGCCCTCCACGCCAACACGCCATAACGCAACCAATAAAGTGACGAGGTCATGCAAACCGATAACAACATCGATTTTGATCGATATTTCTGTGAAGTTATAAATCATTTTGACCTATGGGACAAATTGTTTTAAACAATGATTGTATACGTAATAACATAAAAGACTGTCATAGCTTTTTCACAAACTCTTTATATCGCAAAACATATTCGAAAAGAAGAAGATCTTTACTACATATTTTGATTAAATTAGCTTTGCATTGGATTCCAATTTTCATTATTTTGATCTTCTTTCAGATGATATAGATAACATAAACCAGGGTGATTTACATGCATTGTCATTTGTCGATTGGATATCAGAATTTTCCCCCTCTATCCGGCGAGAGCGAAGTGGTGGGGATCTTTGCGCAGGAGGCGGGTGGAAGAGGTACTGCATCCCGTGGGTTGCTAGCAGTTATTTTTGCTACATCTGGGCCTGCGGGCGGCAGCTGGACAGTATGGCATCTTCCGTGAGGCTTATGGCCAAATCCAAGCTGCTTGGACTGACCCAAACTGGGCTCGTTAAGCAGGTATGTTGGTAGTTTGTTCTGCGCCAAAGTTATGGCAAATCTGTTTATCTGCAGTTTGTTATATAATGTGTTGATATGGCCGGTACGAACGAAATGGCACACCGACCAGATCTTGGCATTAACCCGTCAGAAATGTTAAACCCTCCCAGAGCCTATTTTTCATGTTGTTTGTCAACTTATGTCTGCATCTGCCGTCTGTATCATCATCTTATTTTATGTCAGGAATGTCATTGTGTTTTGCAACCAGTTGTGGCCATAACACCGTTATTTATCACATTGCCAAAACATGCCATGGATGCACAAATGCATGGTATTTGAATAAGTGATGTTCTTTTGCACAATTGCAATATCATTCTTATTTCACCTTGCCTGTTCAGGCTAGTTTTGTTACATAACCCCCAGTCTTTAAAACTTGGAAGAGCAGTTGATGTTTGTCAGTTTGCAAAACATGGCAGACTTCCATGAGATCTATTGGCAGGGTTGGAGCAAGAAGTTGAATGTTAGGTAAGAGTTTGATGATTGGGTCAGTTCACATTGTTTTGGGGCAGCCCATGGTACCATTGGCTAGGTGTTGACCTGAGGCAAACATTGAGTGGAGCAGGAAAAGGCACTGCTGCTTATGAAAAAGAGGTGTCAATTGATGAAGGCAAAGGTAGCCCAAGGGCTAAATGTGCTACATTTATTGTAATGTATTATAGTTTTCTGTATTGCTGCAATCTTATGCTGCATGACTAGATGCTGCTGCATATATAATGCACCTAGTCAGAGATCCATAAACTTAATTAAGGGGCCTGAGCAAAAAAATCAAGTCAAACATTTTGTTTGCTCCTGGTTCTGCCACTTGTGCTGATCAGGTGAACTAGTCATAAACAACTGGAGACCAATGAGTGGTGAGTTAGGAGCTGTTAGATTATTGTTGACACTGAAATACGCATGGATTTGTGCATGCTGCAAAGTTGGGTAATATTATGGTTTATCACAAAATATTGAATAGTAAATTCAGTGTGACCTTGCCCTCTATGAGAGAAACAGATGGTGCTATCAGTTAGTAAGTGCAAATAGGATGGCCAAGAAAATCTTGGAGGCCTGCTCCCACAGCTATGATTGGAGCTATGCGAAACATCTTGTTGACCATCTTTTGCAGACTGGCAGTTAATAAGTTCCTTGAGTGGGTTTGATCCTGCCCAATTGGAGCAGTGACCTGATGTGCTTGGGGCAGGGGCCAGTGGTCTGGTGATGGTGGCAGGTGTGGGGTACTATCCATGAGTTTTCAAATAATCTAGTTTTCATCTACTTTCTACTTATTATCCCCATCAGTGTTCAATATTGGGCAGAATCACACTTTTTAACATTAATTTTTGCTTTACTTTTGTGTGTTCCCAAATAATTTGCAGCAGGTGTAAATTGCATTGAGCCTTCCGCAATGCGAATTAGCCCATTGCTTTGGAGCTGCAGTGCTGACTACTGGTCTAGTTGGCATGCATTTTTGGGGCTGGTTCCTTGTAAGTACATTCAGTCAAAACTGGGGAGAGTAAAAGTCTTGTGCCTGCATATTGACAGGGAGATGATTTAATTGATGGAATCTCTAGTGACGGAGGCTGCATGAGCAGGCAGGTGCAGGACCTGGCAGGATGATAGGGCAGAGATCAAGATAATGATGGTGCAGTACAGATGATTGTGGCATATTTGGTTAGTGGACCTTCCTTGCCTTTATAGATTGTCACCACATCATATCTTTATGCATAAGTACTTTTTCAACTCTGCCTGATCTCTGGATATGGAGCTTTCACTGACAAATTTTTGTATCAATTGTTTATAAGATAAAGGAAAACAGTTAAACCCAATTTTATTTTGGTCTGATCACAAACCAATAAATAATCAGATAAAAAGTTGTTCAAAGTTATACAAGCTCTATATGGCATGCTGTGTTTTGCTCTCTTATGAAGGGGAAGTCAAAAAAGTCACTCAAAATTACCATCAGCTATCTGAAATTGTTCCATTACCTCTTATTTGTTATGTGTCATGTTTTATGCCCAGATCAGCAATCAACACCCTGCAATTCCCCATTGGCTATACCCCCACTCCTGTGGTAAACATGATGTGCAAAACTATCTTTCATTTGTTTCCTTTTTGGACTAGAGATATGTCAGAAACAACAGGCATGCCACTTCTCATAAAATATGGCAATGGTTTCTGTCTTTGAGATTTTACAATAATTTTCCAAAGATTGTACCATGATTTGCAAGCACATGGCAGCATTGTGTCATGCCATTTAAAGACCCACTCCTTGTGCCATGTTCTGGTTGTGCTCCATCGTAGTCCCCTCCCCTTCCATGTATGGCAATGTATAGTTGGCTCCCAAGCTCTCCAACATTTGCTGAAATTTGTATACCTGGATTAAAATACAAATGGCTATGCAAGTATGAATTGTTTATCATAGACCCTGTCAAGCCAAAGTTCTGGAATCCTCCTGTACTAAACCCTCCATTTTCCTGCATGTTTGTGCATGGTACAGTATTTTTGTGCTGATTCTACCACTGGAAACATACAGCCAGGTATTGCAGGTAGTGACATGTATGCATATGGTAAGTACTGACTTGCATTGTCTCTTCTTTCCACAGCCTGTTGCAGGCCTGTCCACTGCTGCCAATGCCAGCAAGACAAAAAAGGTGGGGATGCCAGGATTTTGCTTGATTTGCATTGTCTCCTTTGGATAGAATGCTTGTTGACCTGGTTATGACTGCTCAAACATCATGTGCTGATGTATAAAATCGATACATTGGTATTTATGTTTTTATGATTTTATTTGTATGAACATTGTATGCTGATGTGTTTACAGCTGCAGCTACATTAGTATTTATGCTTTTATGATTGTATCATTGTGTGAACATCATATGCTGATGTGTTTGACAGCTACATTAGTATTTATGTTTTTAAGACTCTGTCAATAGTCTGGATAAGTCAAATTATCATTTTATCAGCATGCTTGACATGCACATGACCTTCAAATGTTATTCCTGAGGTCAACAGTATTGTCCAGAACACTTAAAGGATGTTAGACAGGCATTTGTCGGTAACATGATAAAAACTTTAGGGGCCTTTCAAAAAATACGTACTTTGATTATGTGCCTTGACCCTTGCCTTGATTCCCCGTTTTTCGTGGCGCGAACTGATGGGGGAAGGGGTACGGTGCGATCCCTCCCCCCTCCTTGGTGTTTCCAAAGTAATGACCATCAAGCCCAGCGGAAGACACGACGGAACAATGGAGAGAAGATTGGTGTCAAGGAGATCTCGCAATTGGTACTATTTGTATGTTGTGGAGTCATTAATTGCCCGTTATATTTGGCCAAAGGCCAACTACTCGTAAAAATCGCACTTCTTACCTTTACAACATCATGCATACAAAGCCATGCCTCGTGGCGTTACAAAATTTAAACAGGCGTATTCCTTGTTCAGTTCTGAGTACATTGGTGTATATTTTTGTATGTTTTGAGCATAGATTTGATTTATGGCTCCGTTAGTGTAAGAATGTGGGACCGCAGCGCGCGTACTGCGGCATCGTCCGTTACCGCGCGCACGGCCGCTCAGGTCGTAGATCACCGCGTAGTTTTCCTGAAAAACCTCCGACGTATGCTCCGAAACTAAAAGCTGAGAACACGTTTTTAGTTTCAAAATGCGCGCAGTAGATACCCCGGAGGCTACCGAAAATTTGGGCGTGATTTGCACAAGCTGCGGGAGGGTTTTTCTAGAAAAACATCAGGAGGGTCGCATTGAATCCCTCTTCCTATCAGGGTGAGGTTTAAAATGCGATGTTCTCTAATTTCACAGTTCCTTCTGGTGTCGCCTGGTCGGCAGTTTGATGGTGTGCTGCAGTGAGGCAGCCAGAATATATATGACGGCCAGACCTGCAGAAAGCGTGCCGAGACCTGAGATGTCACTAATTCTAGTCGACTAGGAAGCAATATTTTGCGTTTATGATGTTTTGCTAAGGAATTGAATGGATTGGCCCCTGTGGCACCCCATCTGGAACCAGCGCCATAAAACCCTGATGCCGGGCCTCGCGCCGCCTCGCTTAGTTCGAATGTGTTCCGTCAGGTGGCGGTGGCGGCGCTTGGGGTCGCAGTAGGTGGCGCTGCCGCGGTGGGCTTCGCGCTGAACCAGTCCGTGAAGGCCTCCGTGCAGCTGCACCCGCAGCAGCTGCCCTGGACTCACAACGGCATCATCTCCTCCCTCGACCACGCCAGGCAAGTCGCCATCTCATCCGCTGCTGCCGCCCCACGACCGTATGGCGGCGGTGGCCACTGTGGCAACCTGGTGCCGGTTCTGTGTCGGAAGAACCTTGTTTGCAGCGCGGATACAGCCTGTGTGTGCAGATCACCACGGGCTGATACCCTGCATATATTGGATTCGTTGCATTGTGCCGAACGAGCACGCGGTGGCAACACCCGGCTTTGACGCGCTTCTGCACACTGCGCTCGTTCCCACGCGTCCCACCGTACTACGTGCAGTGCTTCCCGGCGCGCCCGCGGCGGCGTTCTGCCGGCCTGACGGCGCCGCGTGCCCTTCCGCAGCGTTCGGCGCGGCTACGAGGTGTACAAGCAGGTGTGCGCCGCGTGCCACAGCCTGCAGTACGTGGCATACCGCAACCTGATCGGCGTCACCCACACCGAGGAGGAGGCCAAGGCGCAGGCCGAGGAGGTCATGGTGGGTCGGGCCGGGGACGGCCGGTCGGGCCGGTGACGGCCGGTCGGGCCGGTGACGGCCGGTCGGGCCGGCGACGGCCGGTCGGGCCGGCGACGCCTGTCGGGCTGGTGACGCCTGTCGGGCTGGTGACGCCGGTCGGGCTGGTGACCGCCGGTCGGGCCGGTGACGCCGGTCGGGCTGGTGACCGCCTGTCGGGCCGGTGACGGCCTGTTGGGCCGGTGGCGGCCGGTCGGGCTGGCGACGGCCGGTCGGGCCGGTGACGCCTGTCGGGCCCGGCCGGCTCTGTCGCGTGGCTACTGCTCCAGCCTCGTGGCCGTGGTAGTGGCCCTGCGGCGCAATAGATAAGGCCGTGTTTGTATTTGTGCGCGGAACGCGGGAAAATGCGGGTTTCCTCGCCTTGGCCATTGACAAGAGGAAACAAACCATCTCCCATGCAGCGTCCAAACTTAAAGCCGTTTGTGGGCTATTATGGGGATCAGCATGCCAGTTAAGCAGTGCTTGAAATGTAGACGCGTCTGACAGTCATCAGACTGAAGTTTCTGCGCGCGGGATGGCGATGGTGGCTAACCCGGGCCTTGCCGTCAGGTCACCGACGGGCCGAACGACCAGGGCGAGATGTTCGAGCGGCCGGGCAAGCTGTCCGACTACTTCCCCCGGCCGTACCCCAACGACGAGGCGGCGCGTGCGGCCAACAACGGCGCTCTGCCGCCCGACCTGACCTACATCACCAGCGCCCGACACGGCGGAGAGGTCAGTGGTGTGATTGGTCTGGCCGTCCATCCATCCGACGTGACTGATTTTCACGAGAACATGGCGTGGCGAAGAGGTCACTGCACTACCATGTTTCGGACCTGACCTGCGACATAGCCATGTGGCCGGTGGACCGCGGCGATGGTTAGCAGCGCTCCTGACCTGACCTGTGTCGAAGGCACCTGACGCAGTGTGGAGGATAGCACCGCCAATCGTGTTACCCGACCTGGCTTGACCTACTCAGGCCCCCTGGCCCACATCGCCGGTACCATGCGCACTGCCCACCCGACCCGGCCTGGGGGTATTCGCTGCAAGAGGGCCTTGGAGGGATGGGGTTCGCGATTGCCGACCAGTCGGCGAGGCCTGCCGGCTGCCCCGGCCTCCTGTGCTGGCGGCTCTGCCGCGGCTTCGGCTGGGCGGCATTGTTAACCGTAATTCATATTTGAACGTCATTTTACTGATGGCTCTTCGACGTGAGCAGTGGCAACCTGAGCGCGGCTTTGGCGCATCGCTGCAGCGTCTCCGCTGAGTTTGGCCTGCACACCCCCTGGCCGTGCCCCTGGGCCGGCGCGGCGCCGTCTACGGACGCGGGCTGCCGTGGCTGTCGCAGTGACTCCCACCCCCTGGCCGTGCCCCTGAGCCGGCGCGGCGCCGTCTACGGACTCGGGCTGCCGTGGCTGTCGCAGCGACTCCGCTGAGTTTGGCCTGCACACCCCCTGGCCGTGCCCCTGAGCCGGCGCGGCGCCGTCTACGGACGCGGGCTGCCGTGGCTGTCGCAGTGACTCCCACCCCCTGGCCGTGCCCCTGAGCTAGCGCGGCGCCGTCTGCGGACGTGGGCTGCCGTGGCTGTCGCAGCGACTCCCACCCCCTGGCCGTGCCCCTGAGCCAGCGCAGCGCCGTCTGCGGACGCGGGCTGCCGTCGTATGCGGACCGCGCCGCCCCGGCCGCCTTGACCCGGCGCCGTGACGCGACCGCCGGCCGCCCTCAGGACTACCTGTTCCATCTGCTGACCGGCTACTGCGAGCCGCCGGCCGGCGTCAAGCTGCAGGACGGCCAGTACTACAACCCGTACTTCCCGGGCGGCGCCATCAGCATGGCCCAGGCGCTCTACAACGAGGTAAGCGCCCGCAAAGGGAAAGAGAGGCCTGTGGCTCCTGGTCCGTTGTCAGCGTGAGTTTGTGTGCGGAAAACAACCGATCTGCAGTTTACGAACGGGTGTTGGTGAAACGAAAGTCGTGGAGCCGTTGGGATATGGACGAAAATGCACAAAGGAATTGCTAAGGGAGTTCGTAACTGGCTCCAGCGGTGTACCGTGGCGGTAAAGACGGTAGTTGCGCGGATCGGCAGGCAATTCAGCGATCGCGGTTCCCCGGGGCTGGTGCAGTGCGCGCATCGATGGGGCGTTACTCTCCGTGCGACGAGGTCGGTGTCGGTTTGTTGTGTAGCCTGGGCACCGTCGCCATTGGTACCGGCCTGCGGCGGGAAGCCACGGGCCTGGCCTCCCGCGTCCGCGCCTGGGCCGCGATCTGGTCGTCTTACCTTGAATCACGCATAGCGCGATCGTTGGGTTTCGTATCGACCCGTACACTCTCAGCCAGGATCATGACGGCTGCTGCATCCGCTGTAAACCGGACGGGTCGCTGCCGGCCGCCTCAGCCGGTGTGGACCGAGTGGTGTGAAAGACTCCATGCGGCGGAGATCCAACTGCCTCGCCTCGATTGCGAGTTGCTGGTCTGTGAGAGGAGCGAGCGACAGGGCACTGGACACGATGGACGGTCTCGTCGGCAGATCATCGAGTACGAGGACGGCACGCCGGCCACGCAGAGCCAGCTGGCCAAGGACGTCTGCAGCTTCCTGAAGTGGACCGCCGAGCCGGAGCACGACACCAGGAAGAAGATGATCATCAAGGTGAGTGGCGGCGATGGCGGCGGCGGCGGCGGCGGCGGCGTCTGCTGCCGCCGGGCTCCGTGGAGCCGCCGGCGGGCCGCCTGCGAGCGCGGCCGGTGTCGGCGAGGCGTCGCACACCCACCAGTCAGTGTCTGTCAGAGTGGTATCGGTGGCCGGCGCCTTTCACGTGCCGTCTTCCGTGGCCGCCGTCCTGGATGCCCTTCGGCCTGGACCGCCAACCCCCAAACGCTCGTTTTGGTGATTTGGTGCCGCATGTGGCCAGTTCGAGGCGCGTTCGCCTCCGCGGCACCGAATCAGGCCTGTGGGCAGGTGAACCCCTGCCGCTGTCCGTGTTTTGTGGCCCGTCCGCGCTGCTCTGTGCGGCTCTGTCCAGATGCTCCCCCCGCGCCGTCACTCCTCGCGCCGGGCCGCTAGCCCCCTCCCCCTCCTTCCCCACACATCTATCGCGCCGGGCCGCTAGCCCCCCTTCCCTTCTTCCCCACACACCTATCGCGTCGGGCCGCTAACCCCCTCTCCTCCTTCCCACAACACCTATCGCGCCGGGCCGCTAGCCCCCTCCCCTCCTTCCCCACACACCTATCGCGCCGGGCCGCTAGCCCCCCTTCCCTTCTTCCCCACACACCTATCGCGTCGGGCCGCTAACCCCCTCTCCTCCTTCCCCACACACCTATCGCGCCGGGCCGCTAACCCCCCCCCCCCCCCCCCCCCTTCCCTCCTTCCCCACACACCTATCGTGCCGGGCCGCTAACCCCCCCCCCCCTCCCCTCCTTCCCCATACACCTATCGCGTCGGGCCGCTAACACCCCCCCCCCCCCCCTCCCTCCTTCCCCACAGACGCTGATGATCTTCTCGGTGCTGATCAGCATCTCGTACTACATGAAGAGGCACAAGTGGAGCGTCATCAAGTCGCGTAAGCTCTTCTACCGGCCCAAGGAGCAGTAGAGACCGGATGGCGGGCGCCGCCGCCGTGTCGCCGCGCTGATTTAGAGTGCTCGCCGGCGGCCGCCCCCGGCCGGCAGCGGGTTTATGGGTGAGCGGACGCCGCCGGGCCCGGCCAGGGGCGGGTCCAGCTGACCTCTACCGAACGGAAGAAGAATGACCCTGAAATTCTGACTTGTTATGGTTTTACATCGCGTGAAAAGTGCTGGTGTTTTATTCTGCACGGGCGCCGATCGTGTAACAGCAGCTGATTTCCTCCCGCCGGCGCGTGGCTCGTGCCCGCCCCTGTGCCCGGTCAGTGCGGACAAGTGTACGTGAGACGTGTGCGCGGCGCGGGCCGGACTGTCGCCCGGGCCGGTCTGATCCGGCCAAATACACTGCGCTGCGGCAACCCCGCCTGTTTGGTCGGCGCGGCGCGGAACTCCAGCACCGGCTCCCGGGACGCGGAAGTGTTCCGGGGCTGGTCCGGTGCGGCACGGTGCCGGCGTCCCTTATCGTAAATTTCACGGCATACGTGTATTAGGGGGCCCGGACGTGTGCCGCGGTTCATATTTGGTATTTACACCGAGTTTGGAAAACAAATGTGACACGCGGAATCTGTGAGGCAGGGGCGTGGTTTCACGTAATCAGTTGTGGATGTGAGCGGCAAATGCTAACCGTAACTACACAATACCCTTTAGAAGGGTTTCTCCCCGGACTAGATCAGCTTCTCAAAGTTGGGAGGGCGGTAGCCCTCAGCTAAGAGGAAGCTACACCCGTGCTGCGAGGATATGACTGTAGGCGAGTAACTTAAAGGCATGGCAGCCGATTACAAGAAAGCTGTTGTCATAGATCACTAGACGTTAACAACCTCCATACGACTGAAACCTAGTTACGTGGCAGGCAATACGTTGCTGTCCGTAATTTACCTGTGTTTTCCTGGGCTCGAGCTCCACATCTTTCCGCTTGAGCGCAGTGCTGTGCGGAGGCGGCGTGCCTGGGCGCACGTGTTCCGTCGGTACAACAACCGCGTCTGTTTGTGAATACATGCGTGACCTCTGGCGCTGCATTTTGTCCGAGGTGGAGCCTGCTGAACCGTAGCGTTCGTGAAAGGGGACTTGCGTAAGTGGCTCAAACAAAGGTGTCCCAACCACACAATAGCCACGAAATTGCGAAGCAGGCGAATTGAGTTCCTTTATGGGGCGTGCCGGAGCGAGGGAGACGATCACTCGTTCGCTATTGGCTCATCCGTCCGTCGGTTGTCTGTTAGCCGCTTTTAAAATTGTGCTTAAAGTGTTAGTACTTGTTTTATCTCGCGCAATGATATTTATGTTCGGGAGCTGTGTTGTGAGTGATCATGCCAAGGTGCAACATGTTGACCTAGATGTGGCGGCAGCAAGTGGTGGGTAGGACTAAGGACGGCGGTTGTACCGTACGACTGTCACATAGCTCCAGTGCTGCATCACATGCTGCGCCGCACTACACGGCGAGACATGACCACCAGTTTCATCGGGTCGGTTCGCTGAACAGTACACACTGCTGCAGCTTCCAGTTGGATGAAACCAAAACGGATGGTGACGTTTGGCGCGTAACCATGACGTCAGCTGCGCACACAAGGGGAGGGGCTCATGGGACTCGCCCACGCCCCCGTTAGGCTCATGGGCAGTTTTCACCACAAAACAGCTGAATATAATGCCAGAATTTGGCGATGGAGGAACTATTTTGGCTATTAAAACTAGTGGAGAGCCGAGTGAACATGCCCAGTGCGTAGCTGAAAGAGTTACTTTCTTAAAGAGAAAGGCACCAGGGCAAACCTGCCCGGATGGCTCGTTGATAAGCACTGCGCCTGTAAGCGTTTGATGGGGTGCGTTATTCTGTTCGTAGTGCGTAGATCCTGTCAACGGGACTGGAGTTCACTGGTAAAAAAAATAACCGCCCCCCCCCCCCCCTCCCCTCCCCGCAACCCAGTCTCAAATGGTAGTCTCCGCCGTAACTGCCCTCCTTCATGCCGTGAAGATAAACTGGTGAACGACTTAAGCTAGTGTTAACAATGTTGACCTCTTCGTGCTAATCATCTTGCTTGGCCCTGCCCAGAGTCCCTAATACATAATGTTCTAAATGTGTGTCACCAGTTGGAACTTAAACCATTTTAACGATTCGAGATTGCTTTCCCAGGACACAGTCTGTTGTCCACATGCGCCTCTGTCGCACGGACCTTCCTTAATCCGCCACCGGCCATGTAACGTTTGGACGTATGAGAACAAGTACAACATTGGCTCCCCGTGACAAGTGGAGCCTGGGGACGCCGATGCTGGGTAGCAGCTGGCTGGAGCGTTCTGCACGGGAGTATGTGTTCGGCTGCTCAATGGGGGATGCCCCGAAAAAGCAGTAGCCTATCAGAGCTGCTGCAGGCTACGTGTTACACATAACGCTTGTTCCCTGTAAAGCAAAGAATAACAACGTTACATTGATCGGCCCGCTGCCGGCTCATGTAGGTCCGGGTCTGGCGTGACGTGGTCCCAGACCCGCAGACCAGCCCGCCATGCCGGTGCCGGTCCGAGGACCCCACCGTTCGGCCGGGCGGCGCGGCCCGTCGCGTTGGACAGATGGACAATTTTCGCGGTCAATGGGATGTGACGTGGTTCCCTCGTGGTGTCGTTACTTGACACCGCGCGTTCCAGCAGGGCGGGCTCTCTGTTTTTGTATGCTGCCTGGATGCCAACGCCTCTCGGTGAATACTTGTCTTGGTCGCTGCTGGTATTTCCCTCGAGCGCTGTGACGTGCTCCTCAGAGGATTCTCACGGTTATGCGATTTTATATTGCGTTTTACGTAACACAGGCAGCTGGGTATAAACCATCAGGTCAATGCATTTTTCCATCTGGGAGGTACGCTAGCCCGTTTCGTACCGCATCGTGCCGTACATTAGTGCGTTTGTTGCATCAACCAATCCGTCGCAAGCCTGAGCGTTCTCAGCGCTTGCCACAGCATTGGCGAACGGTACTGAACAGGTATCGGAACCTCAATTTATCCGCCCTCCGCATTGCTACATGTTCCCAAGCAAATCCAGGTAAGCGTCAGAAGCCCAGAGGCAAAGCAAGAACGAAACTCTATTAAGTGCCCGATCCCAGCCTTGCCAGAAAACATATCGGGTTTCCAGCGTGCGACATATGACTGCGAGGTGATGATATTTGATGCCTTGAGTTCTGGATGTGGAATTGTAATTATCATAAAATGGAACGGATCAGGAAATTCATCAATCATCATATCATTGAAAACCACGGGAAACATGTCCGGCATGATTTCAACGTAAAGCATGACTGAAATAATCTCCCAGTGCAACTTGAAGGCCTGCCTTGCTTCTATTTCCGGAGGTCAGTCAGATCACAGAACGACCAACTTCGAAATGCTCCTCGCATGGAGCATGTTCAGGATGCTGCGATCCTGCACCTAGGAGCGCCAGCGAAACGTATTCGGCGCTGCGATTGAAAGCGGCGTCACTCAGTGGGACACTAGTAAGCTCTCCTTCGTGAAGGTTGGAGCTGCTCGACAAAGCACGGTCTGTTTTCCCGATGTGTAGCGCAAAACGTCCCGTTTCGGAACAAACTCAGACTATTGCTAGATATACGTCCAATGTCCACTCCCGAGCCCACTAGCGAGGCTCCCCACGTCCATGAGGTAAGCGATTTATTTTGCGACGATTTCCAGCTTCGATTAAGAGGCATCAGGTGGTCAAATGCGATGCAAAAACGTCGAATCTGATGCCTGCATTTCAATATAACGTGAAATTCAAGGTCGAATACAAGTTCAAATAATAGGAAACTTCATATCACCCAAAACGGACCAATTTCGGATTTCCAAGCGTCAGAATATCCACTGAACACATAAACTAGCATCCGACCCAAAAATCTGCTCCAATCGAGACCACTACAGGATCAGATGACGGGAAACTCCCATTCTACATTGGAATTTTACCTTCAAGGGTGACCTTGAGACGTCAGGATTCTTTGATGGACACTAGCTTACGCACTAAAGACAATTATGATGTTTAGAATTCGGAAACCAGGCGATAATTTTTGGTTGATATAGAGTTTCCCTTCAGCTGACCATGATTTATGCGCTGAAAACGATTCAGGAGTTTAAATTTAAATTCGGCCTGCAGGTTTTGGGCGATATGGAGTTTGGTGTCACTAAGTACTGAAATTCAAATCTAATGCGATATGTTGCTGGAAGACAGACGTCAGTTGGGCGTTCTCGTACCGTAACTGATCATCCCACACGCTTTCATCGAACCCGGAACCCATCCACTCTCGAACCGTAACTGACCATCCCACACACTTTCATCGAACTTGGAGCCCGTCCGTTCTCGTACCGTAACTGACCATCCCACACGCTTTCATCAAACTCGGAACCCGTCTTTAAATAGATTGTGAAGTAAATCGCAAACTTCACGGACGTATATGACGACTGGATCGGTCTCTAAGCTTCAACTTTGGAGGCTCATCTGAATGGCCTTATCGATCTGGTCCCGGTCTTAGAGCGCGCCCAGGGGAGATGTGAGTTCCCGATCTATCCTAGCCTTTCAAATCATAAGTGTGATTAGTCGGCTGCCGTATTGTTACTGTCTCCCAGCTGTTGCCGCCGCCACCTTTCAACAGCAACAGCCGTGGGCTACCTTCGGCAGGCACTTCCCTTCGCGACGTAAAGTCGGCTCCAAAACGGATCGGGTCACACTCCTCGGGCAGTCGCGATCCTGGCATCTGCCCTTTTGGCGGCGTGCTCTAGCAACGACCGAGGGCATCACGCTCGGCGCCCGCGCCGCCGGCCGCCGGCCTCCGGTCCAAACTCCGCAGGAGCGCACGCAGGTGGCGCTAGTGCTCCGTCCGCCGCTATTCGCTTGGTGACGAAATCATCCCGTGGCAGCAGGGAGGTCACGCCCTGTACCGAGATGTGAATGAACCACTGATACCGCCCGTGAATCTTGCGTCGTGTGTCGTATGGTTCGTGATCTTTCTGCCTGAGTACAGCCTGCGAACTAAAGAGCGCGGGGCGAACACTGCTTCGAGCTCCAACATAACACAGGTCATGCAGAGCGCGTGGTCGTACAGACCGGATAACGGGGTCTGTGTGGACCTGACGAACCTCGAGCTGTGAACTGCAAGTGACTGTGTCACCGCTCCAGACCAGTGACGGCTGCTCAGAGCACGCGGCACTTGACGGCCGGAGACGACAAGACAAGGTGTCCAGGGACAACGGCCGACAGGGGGCGGGGGGGGGGGGGACGGAAGGTGCTAATGGATCGTGTCGGGAAGCAGGCATCGAAAGAGTTGTCTGCGACCCACGATGGAGGCACGTCAGAGACGCCAAACAATGGCAGCGAATACCTAATCAAACGCTGCGCATCCCTCGCAGAGTATCGTAACCCAGGCCAACGTTTAACATCGGCCATCATGCGCGAGTAATCCAGCCTACCAGCTTTCGAAGTCACCAGGCCGGGCGGAGACTCAACTGAAAGTACTGTAACGAATTTGTACGCAATTGCAAGCACTGCAACATGCAAGCATTGCAGAAAAAGAAAACAACTCATAATGCTACACAGAACAAGATGCTCCAGTACACCAACAAAAACTTACTCGCTAATCTGTCACGCAAATGCAAAGGTTTTGTGGCTTTGAACAAAGAAAATCATATAGAGAAAGACGCGAAAACCATTCGAGGAGCACGGAAGCGTGTCCAGTTAACCTAAACGTACTAAAACGTCCAGAAGATGCTTTACCATTTAATCAACCCTGAAGAAGCTTCCAAAAGAGATGATCGCCTCCGCCCTTCCGTCATGTCGCACAATATAATTACACAACTGAACACTAGCAAGACCAACATTCCACTTCGCCCCATCGTGGCCGATTGTGGCGATACTTTAGACAACTTGTTATGTCTCCTCAGCAGGATTTTAATTCAGGTTTTGGCTTTCATCCCCATTCATGTGCCTAACTCAGGTCCAATTGCGGGGAAGTAGAGGATTCCCTGCTCAACTTCCTTGGATAGTATCATGTTCACCATGAT